TTGTCCATATTTCCTACGTAAACTGCATGTGATGAACGTTCGCGGTTGGTAGGAGGGCAGCAAACCGCAATGCAATTTTTCCCCAACATTGGCAATGAACCCTCGCTTTAGATTACGGGCTTTTTTTAATACAAAGGAGTAATTAACATTCAGCGAGGAAGTGATTTACCATATATCGCTACGGAAATGTTGACGGAAGTCTGAACAATATGTCCTAGCACCCCCGAAAATAGTATGGTCCTGTGTCTACATTAACATAATCTATGCCAGGATGTAATAATCACTATTTGATACTCCTAATTAATAAACGTGTGGAACATTGCATGCAAAACAAACAAAATTTTCTCAAAGTGTAAAGTATATTATGTTTTAATAGGTTTAAAATAAATTTAGTTGCCTAGAATGGTAAATAGAAATATACCGCCATAATAAAAATGGGAGCATCCACATCAAAGCAAAATGAATGTCGCTTCGCCAGCCACCAAAAAAACTTCGCGAAGTACACACAGAAAAAAACAAGTACCCATAGAAAATACAAAGTGCCCATAGAAAATACAAAGTGACCCATAGAAAATACAAAGTGCCCATAGAAAATACAAAGTGCCCATAGAAAATACAAAGTACCCATAGAAAATACAAAGTGGAATAAAAAATGCTAAGTGTACCTATGGGCCTTCGTACATGTGTGCCAACTGTTTCGGAGTTATATAATCTATAATATGCTATCACAAAACACAGCACAGGGCACACAAACAATTAAAAATGCGTGGCCCTGCACCCTATATAATTGAATTCTACAAATATTGCACAAATTTGTCAAAGTATTTATATACAATAAAGGTTCATAAGGTTGTGTAACATACCCTTCTTTGCATGTGCTTTCCAGGCTGATCAGCTGTTTCAGCTGACCTTTGACCCCGTGTTACGCCCACGTCCTGCCATCCAATCACCATCGCCGTTCCATACAAGGAATACAGAGATGCAAAACGCAACATATCATTGGCTTAAAGTTTAGGGTATCCGACCGGAGTTTCTTTCCGTAGCCGTAGCTACATTTCTGTAATAATGCAATTTTCCACTTTTCTTGTTGAAAGGGGTGGTGTGACGCTTATCAATACAATTGATTGATATTTTGTGCGCCAAATTTATTTAGGGGTGGGAATAAGGCCTAACAACTGATGTTTAAGTAAGGGGTCCTTTTTTCGTCATTTTTAACCATGGCTGCATGGAAAAAACGAATTTTCCCAGGGTAACGACTAAGTACTCGAAGAAGCTCAGTACCTAATGTTTCCGAAATTTAAATTTAATTGAAATCGATGCGATACGTGTACCGCTATATTCGATGGCCCAAACACACCCACAAAACATATAGAACACATAAAAGGCCACATAATTGATGACATTTCCTTGTTTGAAAATTCTAGAATATATGGAAATTTTAGAGA